GTCTTTGTCGAGGTGTAGAATCATACATTAATCAGTGTGTTTTCTATTTACCAGTGTCTCTTACCAGAATAAAAACTCCACGAGGGGAGGCATCCTGTGGATTTCACTCTCTGTTGCCTTCTGAGTGCCTGGCACAAAATAGGAATTCAGTGTTGCTTGATAAATCAAATGAGTGTCATATGGATGCTAGGTGTTATGATTCAATTCTCCCAACATAAGTAAAAACATCGGTCTCTTGGCTTACATCAGAAGGTTTGTATAGTTTGGGTCAATCAGTCCCACTGAGCTTAGTCAGTTCTGGCGGATGACATAAAATTAGGTTTGGGTCCTGCAGTGGTGAGATCATAAGCCTTTTTTTTCTTTTAACATCTGTTTATTTGAGCATCCTGACACTGAGCAGGTAGACTTGACCATTTTATAAGATGACTTCCCTTCAGATGTCAGGTTGACACCGGAAAACTGAAGTTCGGGACAAGCTGTCAAGGCAAAGTGTGAACTTGCAGATTTCCCTCCTTAGGCCCAGCTTGCCAGGAAGTTGTGTAGGAAGAAATGTGGGATAATGGGGGCTCGGCCAAGCCATCTTCTTCCCACTTCTCCCCCAACTCCAGGACAGCTTTGAAGACCACAGGCATTCCAAATTAAACTAAATCCTGTCTTTGGTATCACCCTTCCTACCTGGCATCTTCCCCACCAGTCCATCACCCAAACTGTTACCAGCATGAATCTCTCTCAAGTTGAGAGTCCGTTTCTCTGTGTCCTTCTACATTTCCCTATCACCTGCAAGATAACTCCCAAACTCTTAGCATGGAACAGATCCTACTTCACAATCTCACTCCTAAACTTTCCTGCTTCCATTTCTCTTCTCATACCTTCATTCCCAGCTTCTCCAAGCAGCTTACAGCTCTCTGAATGCACCGTGCTCTCCTATGCCACTGTGCCCTCACATGCAAGTTCCTCTTCCAACCTTTCCTTCCTGGTGAGTCCCACTGGCTCAGCTTACATGTCACGTCTCCCATGAAGTCTCTCCTGATAATGGTTCCTCCTCCCCAGATCTGGCATCTCTTTGTGCTTTATCTGTATGCTCTTCCCCACCAGACTGTGAGTTCCTTGAGAATAGGGATTGTGTCTCACTCATCATTGAATCCCCATGCTTAGCGTAGGTCCTCAATGAGACCCAGGCCCAGGGGCATGCCCTTCTCTGGGATGTCAGATGTCCAAAACCAAATAAATGGGGTCAGTTTCCAGAGTTAGGAAGAAACAATTTCACTTTCTGGGGCCATCCCATATTCTAACATTTTTCCATCTTCCATGACCTTCCACTTGACCCATATAGAAGACCCATGGAGGCAAGAGTAGGGCAGAGTCTTTTTTGGAATTGTCTTTTTTGGTTAGTTCCACCAATGCACATCTTCTCTAACAATCAAAGGACATGGGGAATAGATACTTCAGCATGATCCTTATCTCTATCCAGAAGATGCTAAGCACTAACTTCTAGACCCCTGAAATATATTAACTTTATAAAAAGAAAGTCCTCTCTGCGATTACCAATGAAGTAGGTTTTTTTTTTAAGATTTTATTTATTTATTTGACAGAGATCACAAGTAGGCAGAGAGGCAGGCAGAGAGAGAGAGGGGAAAGCAGGCACCCTGCCAAGCAGAGAGCCCGATGTGGGGCTCCATCCCAGGATGCTGGGATCACGACCTGTGCCAAAGGTGGGGGCTTAACCCACAGAGCCACCCAGGTGCCCCGAAGTAGTTGTTTTTAATAAAGCCACATCTGGAACTATTTTTTATGCTTGCCTAATGGTCACACATTATCCTTGCCCATCCCCACCTCCAAGCCCAATCTTTCAGGCAGACCCATTTTATATAAGGAGGTGCCCACTTGCATTAGTGGAGGGGAGAAGGGACACTGTATGGCTGGAAGAACGTGCTGACAGCTTATTTTAAGAACACTCATTGAAAGCTGGGCTTTAGAACACTCAGTGAAAATTGGCTGGGCTTGAATTTTCTTGGGGTCTTCAATCCATCTGGACTTGTATACCCAGAAATGGATGAGGTATACTTCACTAGAAGAAATTAAGACCTGAAGTTATTTTGGAGGAGGGTTTAAGTTCAATTGCTTCTTCAATCATCACACATTTATTTTATAAATATCTCCTAGTGCCAGGCACTGTACTAGGAGTCTGGTGTCCACAGATGAGTAGGATAGGGTTCTAGCCAAGAGTCACAGAGGTTCACAATGATAATACTTTGATAAGTGCTACCATAGAAGTTTTGATAAAATGTTATGAATGCTCAATGGGAATGTTCATTCCACCTGAAGATAGAGTTAACAAGGAAGGCTTCATAGCAAAGGTGCTATGTATGCTAAGCCTTGAGGAATGGGTGGGATTCATCCACGGGACCAGAAGGAAAGGTATTCCAGGTAAATGGATGAGTACAAACAGAAGCCTAGAAGGGGGAAAATGCATGAGACTCAGATTCACACAAAAGCAAATTTCTCATAATGAGTGTGTAGCCATTAAGCTTAGGAATTATTAACCATTTTTGAGTCATGGAACTCTGTGAAAACCAAATAAAAGCTAATGATTTCTTTCCCCAGGGGAGCGTGTATGTGCCCGTGTATGCATGCACGTACACATACATAGAATTTTGTAGGCTTTTTCATTGAGTTCATGAACCCTCTGCCCCAATGGACACAAAGGGTTACAAATCTGTTTGAAATATCCATACATAACACAAATTAGAAGAGAATTAATGGTTTTATGTGGCGCTAGTTTCATCTTCTCCAAATACTAGTACTACCCAAGTAACTTATTGAATGGCAAAATAAAATTAACTTGTGTGTGTCTACAAAATTAGCTAATTTTCTGTGTCCCAAGGTCATTGGTTAATGTCCTCAACCACAATGACTTTTCTATCCCTTTTGTTAGAATGGTTAGAATTTCAGGGATATACATTTAGAATGTTAGTTGAAATAAACAAAAAACAAACAAGAGTGGAGATAGGCCTGAGACTCAGGCTCTTTTTTTTTTTTTTTTTTAAACACTTGGAGTCTAAAGCGGGGGAGTGGTGTGGCTTTTTCTGTGCTGCTCTGTTGTCTGGCTTAGTCTACCTTTGCAGGTAATTAATTCCCCAGCCTGCTTATTTTTTCTAGTTGGCTCTTGTTTAGCTTCCATAGAGCCCCACCCCAAAGTGCTTTATTGTCCCTCTGCTGACTATTCCTACATATGGTCAAAATCAACTCACCTTCCGGGTTGCTGACATCGGCAAATTCACTGTTGGCAAACTCTGCTCTGCTCCCAGTAACCCTTTGTTAAAGAAGTGTTATTACAACGGAGTGGATCTGATAGCTAACGAGTCTGTCCAATCTCTTGCACTCCGAGATACACTCCGAAGGAGCAACTCCTTCTGTCCTTGGATTTACAGCCACAGGCAGGATATTAGCACTCTCAGACCTGTTGGGTACTAGAGCACTGCTAATGAGCAAACAGCCCTGCCTCAATTAGTGGTTTGTGAAATATTCCTGGATATCAAATTGCTTTTGCTGCTTGATAACCACACTGGCTCTTGGGATGAAAAGCAACCAAGCAAAAATTGTTCCCCTGTTACATACTGCCTTGTTGATCTCCCAAGTTGTATCTGTAGACAGAATTTAAGTTTGCCATTTCCCCAGAGCTAAGGTTTGACTTACACAGGTAATCACTGTGTTGGTGTTCATGGTTTCTCTTATGAATCTTTTTGGGTATATAGATTACCATCTTTGAAGGCTATTTCTGTAATAAGGACTTAAACAAGGCTGATTATTTTAGCAAATTAAGAAATAAACTATAGAAAAACCCCAAATGGTAAACTGCTATTGTAGTAACTTGTCTAAGTATAGGTGTTTATTTCAGAGAGAGAGAGAAAAAGAGAGAGAGAGAGAGAGAGGAGGGCAGTGGAGGAGAAAGAATATTAATGAAACCGGGAGAATGTTTCATCCAGATTGCAAATCATGTTGACTCTTCCTAAATTCTTAGCTTCTTAATTACCCAGTAACTTCAGATGGCAGTAACGTTAACCCCAGTAACTGAAAAGAAAAGCTTCAGTGTAGAGCTTGGGAAGAAAAAAGTAGTAAAGGGAAAGGAATTCAAGATCTGTTATTGGTATTTGAATACATTTATTGTGACAAGAATGCTGTTATAAATATTCATAAGCAAAGACCATCTTTTTTATCGAGGGATTGTGAAAGATTCCAAATTGGAAGGATACATGTTCTGTGAAAATCTGCCACTGTTCCTGATTTGAGAGTAAGCAACTACTCTTAAGTTTCTGCTAACATCACAAATGGTCACAGCACATGCCACTTGGTATAATCCAGATTTTAAATGGACTTCCCAGGGGACTGTCTGTCCCTCTTCACCACAACCTCCCTTCCCTCAGCCTTCAGAAGGACCACACTATCCTCTGTAAGCAACCCTACATAGATTGTTGGGGGAGGGAAGAGGGTAAATTGACAAGAGCATCAGCTACAGTTATCTCAAGTCCAGTAGAGAACAGTTTTCACTGCTTGATGGTAAGAAGCACTGAGAGTGATGTGAGTTGACTCTCCACTCTTTCAACTTCACCTAGATAGGTATTCCATAGATGATGCAGAAAAGAGGTTGTGGGAGGGGTACTTTTCCAATATTTTATTGCATTTTCTTAAATATCCTTTCTGGAATTTTCAGGAACAAAACATAAAAAAATTATATACTTTATTACAAATGGTAAACTCAGAGTGCTCCAAATCTCTTATTTACAAACAACACTGGGCAGGACACCCAAACAAACAAACATGAAATAACTTACAAAGGCATGAAGCTGTTTATTGACAGTAATCAGCTTTCATCAAATTAAAAAATATATATATGTACATACACAGTTAAGGAAGGCAGGCCAGAAAGAGTTCATCTGCAGGCTCAGCCTCGCTCTCACAAACCTCCCTCCCGCCTCCCCTCCCCCAACCCTCCCCCCTTTTGTGTTCTTAAGGAGTACTACAGAAGCAATCTACAGTCTCTATTGCAGTTTGGAACCCCTCCCCCTCCCCCCTTTAATACTGAATGAGATCGAATGTTAGGTCCATGCAGTTCTTGGTCAATGTTAAAGAAAAGTCTAACGTTCTGTTCGTGCGGGGACAGCCCGTCCGCAAAGCGGGGCAGCCCGCAGGCAGCCGCTCCCTGGCCCCATGCCAAGGGAGGGCGCGCCAAGTCCTTCCCACTCGTGCACACTGGGGGCGCCGTCAGGACGCCGCCCAGTCCAACTTGGATACCCTTGGCTTTAGTCCTTGGACACTTCTTTTCTCTGTCTCTCTCGCTCTCTCAACTTGTTAAGTTCTCAAGTCTGTCTCTCTGTGTAATTTTTTTTTCTCTGTTGCCCCTCAGCCCCCGACAGTCTCTCTTCAAAACGTTTGCAACTGCTGCGTTAGCATGAGTTGGCACCCACTGTTAACGTGGTTCATGACTTTCTGTTTAAGCTGTGCCACCTGTTCCCTGAGCATGTTGGCCGTGGACGCCAGCTCCGAGTTCTGCGCTTTCAAGGTTTTCACTTTTTCCTCCAGCCGGGCGATCCTCTCCAGCTTCCTTTTCCGGCACTTGGAGGCAGCTATGCGGTTCCTCATGCGCTTCCTCTCTGCCTTGATCCTCTCCTGCGACTCCATGTCGATGGGGGACAGGGGCGGCGTTTCCCCGGGCATCTCGGGCACCGTCTGCGGCTCCTCCTTCAAGGCCTGCAGCCGCGGGTGCTGCACCGGGAGCTGCTGGGGCAGGTGGTGCGGCGGCTGCGGGGGCTGCTGCTGCTGCTGGGGCTGCGCGGGAAAGGCCAGGCCGGCCGCGCCGTAGGAGGGCGCCCCGCCGCCGCTGCTCAGCGCGCCCGGGTTGAAGTTGCTGAGGTTGGCGTAGACCGGCGGCTCGCTGTGCAGGCTGGCACTGAAGCCGCCGCTGCCGCTGCCACCCGCCGCCGAAGCCACCGCCGGTGCCACCATGCCCGCCCCGCTGACCGGCTGAGCCGCCGACGTGACGCTGGGCAGCGTGTTCTGGCTGTGCAGTTCGGCCAGGGCGCGCACGAAACCCTCGGCGAAGCCCTCCTGCTCGTCTGTCACATTCTTGGGGCACAGGAACTGCGTGGGGGTCGGCGTGGTGGTGATGTGCCCGTTGCTGGACTGGATTATCAGGCGCTCCAGCTCGGGCGAGGCCAGCTTGAGCAGCCCCACGTCGGGCGAGGTGAGGAGGTCCGAGTTCTTGGCCCGGAGGTGCGGTTTCAGGCTGCCCACCGGGTCGGCCAGGTTCAGGGTCATGCTCTGTTTCAGGATCTTGGGGTTACTGTAGCCGTAGGCGCCGCTCTCGGACTGGAGGAACGAGGCGTTCAGGGCATCGTCGTAGAAGGTCGTTTCCATCTTTGCAGTCATAGAACAGTCCGTCACTTCACGTGGGGTTAGTTTGGGCTGCGCGCAGAAGTTTCGGGGCCGCAACAGCGCGCTGGCGAGCGGGGGACACCCGCGCCTCCCGGGGCCCTGGGCAAGGAAAGTTTCTCGAGAGGCGCGCGCACCCGCCGGCTGTCCTCCCCCCTGCGCCCTGCTCACCAGCTCGCTCCCCAGGCACTCAGGGTTCAGGTGCCGCCAGCACTCTTGTCAGCTCGCGCGCGCTGCCCGGCTTTGAAAAGTCGCGGTCACTCACGGAGCGCTCTCGGGCGCAGCGGTTCCTGGGAGCCCGCGGACGAATACGCTTCCCGGCGACAGCGGCCTTCCCGGCAGCGGCAGTCAGCGCGGATCCCACTGTGGCAGGCCGGCGGCGGGTCTCCGCCGCCCCGACGCCGACTACTGTCCCCTCCTCCGCTGCGAGGGGGAGGCGGCGCCTGGCAGCCGCGGCTCGCGCTCGCCCAAGTTCAGCAACCGGTGCGAGAGAAGCTGAGCGCACGTCCCTCCTCGGTCTTCTCTCTCCGCCGCCTTCTCGTCTTCACCGCCGCCGCCACAGCTTCATGCGCAGCAAAGCTTTGCAAAAGTTCGCTCCGGGACCTGGGCCACTTGTCCCCTGTCCTCCTGGCCAGGAAAGTTCTTGGCCGCTGCAGCCGCTCTCCGGACTTCCCCGGACGGACTGCCGCCTCGCTCCGCGCTGTCAGCAGCTCCCGGGCAGCGGGGCTCTCCTCCTGGGGGCGGCTGGAGAAGGGGCTCTCCGGACGCTCCCCAAAACACCAGCCCCGGAGCCACAGGCGTTAGCTCTGGGCAATTGGTGAGAAAACAGAAAAGAAAATAGGATTTGCAGCTCGGACTCCACTGCCGTCTTGCCTGCCTGTGTCTGCCTGTCTCCCTGAGTCCGCGCACCTCCACTCCCGCCTCGGTGGTTCAGCCACACTCCGTGCAACTCTGAGCCCTTATCCAGCCGGAGCTCAACACTTATCTGCTACCAGTCAACCCCTAAAAATAGCCCATGATGTCACCCCAAGGCCTTCCCATTGGCTCGCATCGCTCTCAAGGGGGCGGGCCCGCCCGTCGCCATGGAGACCCCACCCTAGAAGATTCTTCTCTAGACCCGCGGAGGCTCACGGGATGAGGTAATGCTCCGCTGCCCTCCTACAGTTGGGCCCTTCTTTCTCCTCCTCTCCCCCTCCCCCTCCCGCGCGATTCGCGCGGGGCTCTTTCCCCTCCCCTCCTCCGCGCGTCTTTCCCGGCCCGCCCGGTGCATTGTGGGCTGACGTCTTGGGGTTTGACTGTCTAGTGACGGTGGCTACAGCGAGTCGGGTGAACGCGGGCTCTCGCAGCCTCTGACCGAGGCGGGCTCAAGTTCAGGGCTTGGGCGGGAATGCAGGCGACTCCGGCACCCGGAAGGCTCGGAAACCCGGCCAGGTGTCTGGGGCTGAGAGCGCTGGGTGTGGGGTATTTCCCCACTTGGGGTGCTCGCTATCATCCACGGGCACTTCGCCGCCTTGCGGGGCCGGAGTCTGTTCGCTCGGGTGTGTGCCCCCCCCGCACTTCCGGGGGGCGGGAGCACCGCCCTTAAGGTGGCTCTTTTAAGTCCCCTGTGGGGGCGAGTGAAAGTGGGCTTAAGTTTAGGGGCGGTCTCGGGAGAGCGGGCCCCCCACGTTAAGGACGCTGCAAAGTTTGTCTCCTGGTCAAGTTCACGAGCGATAGTCCGCGCTGCTGTTTGGCTGAGCCTAGAAGCCAAGTGATTTGCATTGCTCGAAACTCGGTGCTCAGCTAAGTCTGCGTTGCACCCCCACTGCACTCTCCAGACCATGGGAGAAAGGGTGCGAGGGCTCAGTTTTGCCTTGATGGGGAAGTTTTTCTATAGGGGGTAGTTTTTTCTATAGGGGGAAGTTTTTCTATAGGGGGCAACTCAGCTTCCAGTTGTGAATGCGCGTTTAGGGAATCCGAAACTTGGGGAACCCCGGTGATCGTCTGCTACCCGCCCCCGCACAACATGCAACCATAGTTCATAAACACACGCGCGGGCGCGCGCGCGCACACACAGACACATATACACACACACCCCACACCACACCACACCTCCCGACCTGATTTGTTTACAGGAAAACAAGTCCGAGAGCGTCAGATAACTCAGAAAAAAGTCACGCAGCGAGTCAGGGGTAGCGACCAGGATTTAAGATCTCTCCGCTCCTGGCCAGGTGGTGGGCCCATATCTTGGGTAGCCTCTAGGAAGCGCTAGACACATATAAGTGGTTCTTTTTCTGCGGTTATTTTATCCTCCTCCTACCCCGCAGCCCTTAGGGACAAAAGTGTATGGCGGAAGGAATATCCAAATCGGGGATCGTGGGTTCTCGCGTGCCCAGCGCTGCCACGGTGTGAAGTGAGAATTGCCGAACTTCTCTTGAATTCCTTCAGGTCTGCAAGTGGGGCCGGTGAGACCCACCTCACTGGGCTGAGCTAGTGAAACATCGTCGCCTCCAGGGCCAGGAGGTGGTCGCCGCACAGCCCCCTTTCCTACCCTCCCTCGGAGTTTCCCAGAACCTCGATGAAATGACAGAATATGAGTGTGACTTGGCAGAACCAGGTGTCCTTACCCCTGTGAGGAGCGGTGAGGGGAGGAAGATGAAGGAGGAAAGGGTCAGAAGTCAGCACTTTCCCGGACCTCCTGTTGGGGTTTGAAGTCAGACTTGCTGCAATTTGTGTTCTCAGATTCTAATTTTGGCTTTTCAGCTTCTGAACTTAGGGAGAATTCAGCCTTGGGTTTATAGCCCGGAGCTTTACGGTATTTGTGGCTTTGAGAGTTCAGATTCAAGGGCCCAACAGCAGCTGGTGTCAGAAATCTTGACAACTTTTCTTCACCCCACGCACTCACCTCTCCTTCCCTCCTGCAGCAGAGGGAAACTGAGCAGCTCCTGTGAGCCAGGCACTGAGCTGCGGTGCGGGGATAGAGTGATGACAATACCCAGTTATTTTATTTGAGGAGGGAACATTCTCTATTCTGTTGCCCTGAATCATTTTCTTTTGTAATCACGGAGCTGACATTCTTAATAATTTTTTATGTTAACCGTAATAAAAATAAATTTCATGTATTAAACACCTACCACCAACCAGGCATTTACCTGAGCTATTTAAATATGCTGTTTCTCCTCACAACCATCTCTAGGTGTGTGTATTTTTATTTGGATCTAACATATGAGGAACTAGGTTCAGAGAGGTTAAGACTCTTACTCAGGTCACACAGCTGGAAATTAACCTCAGGTCTTTGTTCCATTCCCTTGTATCTGTTCTGCTCTGGAAGACTTTCTTGTTAAGTATTAGGTGTCTGTAGGGGAATGGCACTTGGACGGTGGGATAGAACTAATTACCATGTCTGATCCTCTGGAACTCCTTTCAGAGCTCCTGTATTTAGAAACTTTAAGACTTAGGACTTTGTGTGTGTAAGTATATATATACACACATCTTGTGCCTAAGGGTTCTGTATGTTTCTCTCTGCCTTATGTGGTTTAGTAGGCTTATTTTTTCCTTATGTTGAGAAATAGCATATTTTATCCAAAAAATAGCAGATCTGTTCATGTTAACACCCCTGCTTGGAAACCTTCATGGCTTTCCCTTATGACGAGGAAAGAGTTCAGAGACCTTTGCTCGAGAGAGGGGGCTCCTTTCCTACGCTCACTCCTGCTCTCCTGCCTCCTCTCTCACTTCCAGAATCAATCAGGAAAGGCTGGGCTATGCTCTAACAAACAAACCAGACATCTCAGTGGCTTACCCCAGGTAAGTTTATTTGTTGTTCATGCTACATGTCCCCGCTCAAGGTCTGCAGGGGAGTTCTGCTCACCATGGACACTTGAGGACTTGGACTGAAGAAGGCTTCATCTTGACACGTACTTCTCATTACTGTCTTGGCTGGAGGAGACAAGGCAGCAGACCATTCACTGGCTCTCGAAGCATCCACCTGAAAGTGACACACTGAGTTTTTGCTTGGGTATCACTGGTCAAAGCAAGTCATGTGGCTACCGCCCAATTTTAAATCTCTGCAGTTCTGCCGAGTATCTTAAAGGGAGAGAGCCAGGACTATTTGGAGAACAACACTAATGACTCTAGCAGTCTCTTTTCTGCTCGCCAAATGTTTGGCTTACTGTCTTCCCACAGACAGAATTTTCTCATTCTTTCCTCAGGGGGGACAATCCTAAAGATTTATCAAGTCACAGTGTGTCAAGCTCACTTTCCAGGTTCTGGGTGATTCGTAGTAGACTCTGTATCAGCTCCAGATGTGACCTTTTTTCTAAATGCAAGACGTCTCTCCTGTGTACCCTCAAGATGGACCAGTGGAACGGAAACAGGCTAACTGCTGTGGGCACGCTGTTTGGAAAATGAAGGAATGGGAAACCACAGTAGACACCAGTCCACTAAGCAGACATGTTGAGGATACCCCCCCTCCCAATCCAACACCCTGATTAGACACTGATTCTATCCCCTTGGGGTAGCTGCCTTATCCACTGCTTTCTGTGACCTCTGGCTTTGCTCTCTGAGAAAGTCTTCCTTTTCTATATCTGAAGAGGGCATAGGGAAATATGTTTTAAAATATGCCTTTAAAAATTGGGGGGGTGCAGAGTGATATGAAGTCTTGAATAAGGTCTCCTTTAATCCAGGCTGATGTGCTTTTGGCGGTATAACTCTCACAAAAATGTAGGCTTCTTATCTGTTTAATTCTAGGCGTTCCATGAGCTAATAGCCACAGCTGATTCTTTCCCGGACCTACTTCCATGTTTTGCTCTATATCTTTGTTTTCTTGCTTTCTTGCCTGATGGTATCTCTCTCTTCATTCATTGTCCCTCACTTGTCCTCTCTCTCCTGACTTGGTTTTGTGCGCTTTGGGCTTTCTGGGCTTTGGTGGGAGAATGATACTTCTCCTCCCTTTTCCAAACCCATTTTGTTCAATTGCGAACATATGCTGGGTAATATCTTCATTTATCCAGAAGTTATAGCAATAGGTTTGAGGCCATACCCTTGACTTGAGACATACTTCAAGGCA